TAACTAACGCAACTCCTACAAATTAACGCGGATGAATACCGGACTATTTCGCCTGGCGATGAATATTGTTGTACCGCACCCACAACAAGAGCGCCAGGCGCCATCTTTGTCTCATTGTGTAGCCAGTGCACCACTGTTATTGTTGAAATTTCTGCATTGATGTGGAAATTGCTGCTATTTGTATAACTATTTTGTTATACAAGTTACAATTGTAACAATGAGTCGCCCAAAGCGTAGTGAGAAAGCTAATAACCCTTGAAACTAAGAAAGAAATTATAAAGAAACGTGAGAATGGAAGAAGATCATGTAAAACTTAGTGATGAATATGGGATGGCTAAATCCACTATATAAGCGATTTGAAGAATAAAGAGGAGTTAAAAACTGTGCAAGTGGCAAGGAATCTTGACTTAGCAAAGCAAAGTGTAATGTGATTGAAGAGATGGAAAATTTACTCTAGTGTGGATAAAGGAGAAAGTGTGCAGGTGGTAACATTAGTGAAGCTATAATTTGTGAGAAGGCCAACAATTGTTTGAGGACCTTAAAGCCAAGAATCCCAGTGGAAGTGATAGTGCTGTGCCAGTGTTTAGGGTACTCACGCTGAATAACACTAAGGTAAGATAAAAACGTATTTAAATATTTTCCACAGAATTTTTTCAGTGTTAGGTGGTTGTATTTGGGGGCCTGAACGGATTAATCCTATATCTAACTTAATGCTATAAACTAATCCAGGTTTTGGAACCACTACGTCATATATATTATATATCCCACTGTATATATATATATATATATATATATATATATATATATATATATATATATATATATATATATATATATATATATATATATATATATATATATATATATATATATATATATATACACACACACACACACACACACACACACAATAACAATAACACAGTAATACCCCGCTTAACACGGTTTCGCTTAGCGCGATTTCACGTATACGCGGTGCCTCGCCAGAGCCGAACTTTCACTTAACATGGGTTTTTTCCACGTATACGCGCAGAGTGTCCGGCTCGAGACGCTATTTTTAGATTCGCACCCGCCACCCGCCCTGCCTGCCTGCCTGTTTTAGCTCATAAAATTCATACAAATTACCCGACCAGAATATAATTTACATTGCTGGAATTCTTACAATATGTGATCATTTTGAATATAAACATCATAGATATTGCATTAGACATACAAATTTTAGATATAATGTTTACTCTGAGTAAATATGTTATTTTTTGTGCAAAATATATGACATTTGTATTCAAAATATTCCTGGTCTTACAAGGAATCCAGCAATGTCAATTATATTATCCTAACTTTAGTTTGAGGTATTATTCATTACTAAAAGGGTAAATATTCTGGTTTTCCCACACATCTGGTAGGGAGGGTTGGTGGGGGTGGGAGGGACCGACCGACCATCTGTTACGGTGTGAAGAATATTTTTTTTTTTTTATTAACTGAAGATATTTGTTTTAGCTCATAAAATTCATACAAATTACCCGGTCAGAATATAATTTACATTTGCTGGAATTCTTACAATTTGATGATCATTTTGAATATAAACATCATAGATTTTGCACTAGACATACAAATTTTAGATGTAATGTTTACTCTGAGTAAATATGTTATCTTTTGTGCAAAATATATGACATTTATATTCAAAATATTCCTGGTCCTACAAGGAATCCAGCAATGTCAATTATATTATCCTAACTTTAATCTGAGGTATTATTTAATACTAAATGTTAAAATTTAGTTTTTTCACCCAGACTAGAGAGAAATACAAATCAAGGTGTATATATACAGAGGAGGGTGAGACCAGGTCCACAATGGTCAGGTATTAGGTAATGACCCTACTAATCTTTAAATAGCACACAACGGTTGGTGGTCAGGTGACCCGGCCTTCTCACCTGGTTACAAATCTTCTTAATTACAAAATTGTCCAGCTTGTACATGCCGTTACTCAAATTCATGTTGAATGCTTCGGTATGATTAATAAGACTAGATTCTATGATGTTCCTACTATCAATTGAATTACAAGGTAATATTGAGGAGGCATTATCCCAACACGTAACAATGCTTGTTATCCTCAAAATGAACAAAACAGAGCATTGATTCCTGGCCTGTCCTAACACTGTATTGGAAGTTTAAGGAATTTAGTTGCAAGATCTTTTACCTGTCTGGCTTGGTAAAACATTACATTCCTTAAAGGAACTTATAAATGCAACCAATTGTGTTGTTGGGGGAGTTCTTGATTAACATTTGTTTAACAGTGCATAAGTTTTTAAATGCCACATTGACGTTCCAGGTTTTTAGTTGTAAAGGAATTTGAGAGAAATTTTTGTGAAATGGTAATATTAAGATATTCTTATGGTCATGGGTGGGCTTGGGATCAGTTCTATAAAAAGATTTCTTAGTAATGTTCAAGCATTTGTCTATGAAAGATCTAGGGTATTTAAGATTTGAGCCAATATTATAGATATATTTATATTCCTCATCAATGAATTCCGGGCTCCAAATTCTCAAAGCACGTAAAAACATTGTTGAAAATACTGATTGTTTGACTCTATTATGGTGGGCAGAATAATAATGAATGTATGAACACACATTAGTTGGTTTTCTATAAATACTGAACTTAAAAGTGTTACCTATTCTGTGTATCAGACAGTCTAGGAATGGCAATTTACAGTCTTGCTCTAATTCTACAGTGAATTTGATCGAGGGGGCTAAGTTGTGGCAGGAAAGCTTTTAGGTCCTCCTTACATGGCCAGAGACATAATACATCATCAACATATCTAAACCAGACTGCTGAAGGTGGTAAAATATTACTTAATAGTTTCTTTTCAAAGAATTCCATATAGAGGTTGCTTAATACAGGTGAGAGTGGATTACCCATTGCCATACCAAATTTTTGAGCATAATATTCTCCAATGAATTATGTCAAAAATTTATCTTTATCCACGCCATTGTGGGATTCATGATATATATATATATATATATATATATATATTAGGTCTCGTTAACGAACTCAATCCGTTCCAGAAGGTCGTTCGTTAACCGAAAAGTTCGTTAACCGAAACCATTGTTTCAATGGGTTTTTGGGTAATTGGTTCCAGCTCACCGAAAATTTCCTAAATTCAACAAAAATGGCAGAAAGTTCACTTACTTTGAGGTGTGTATGTAGAAGGCTCCTGGATGATGATGATGATGAAGGGATTTAGAATGGGGGTGGAGGAGAAGGAAGAAGAGAAGGCATTGGGGTGGAAGAGAAGTCACCCCATGGTGCCATTTCACCCATAAAATTTTAGCTCTCTGGTTTAATTCAAGATTATTTTCTTTAAATCAACGCTGCACTGCATTATATATTGTCAATATATAAAATATATTTCAAAATGACCAATAATTTGCTTGGAAACACAGAAAAAAAGCGTTTAGTTGAAGAGAGTCTCAAGCAAGATGTTACCTCCAGTGAAAACAAAGAGAGACTGACGCCTGTTTGCTGTATTAAGAGGCTGGATGCCGCGCATTAAACTTGTCATTTTACCTTCAATTTTGTTCAATAATTGTTAAAATGACTAAAAAATTTAATATTAAACTTTAAAATTATTGAATAGTATAAACTTCTTGATATTTACAAAAATAGTAAGGAATTTAAGCCCTAGAACCGATTAATGTATTGGCGGACTGATACTAAAGCTGGCTGCCCGGTCAGTGCAAGCGAAAACATGTTGAGGTCGGTTCGTAAGAAGTTCGTTAAGCGAATTTTTTTTCGTTAACCGAATTGAAGATCCTTATGGAAGGCAGTTCGTTAATCGAAATTACGTTAACCGAGGTGTTCGTTAAACGAGGGGTCACTGTATATATATATATATATATATATATATATATATATATATATATATATATATATATATATATATATATATATATATATATATATATATATATATATATATATATATATATATATATATATATATATATATATATATATATTATATAGCTAGACCCCGACTTACGACGGGGTTAAGGACCCAAATCCAGGTCGTAAGTCCGACATCGATAAAAATTTTTATTTATTTATTTTTTTTTAATAAAAAATCTACAATGAAATACAGTACAGTAAAAGTAATAAATAATGAGGAATGGATACAGTGTGACAACACTTACCTTTAATGTATTCAGCTGAATGCACATGGGGTCCCCATAATTTTCTAATTATACATGGAGACTACATTAACTGGAAATGTTTCGGTTTATATATATATATAAATAAATTACCCCCCAAAAAACTTGTGGTTTTCAGAGCTTTTCGGTTTTCGGAATTTCGGATAAAGGGTTGTCAACCTGTATTTAAAATATTATGGCATTGAATGTTACAGAGCACTGTATTTCAAAGAAATTCTTTGTTTAGTCCTGTACATATACAGTACAGTATGCAAATATAATATACAGTAGTGAATGCACATAAAGCGAGGGACTACTGTACAGTAAACGTATGCCATAGCACTAACACTGTCATAAAGAGGTCCAGCAAGCCTGGGCTAGATTTATGCTGATGTAAGTTGTATTGGTACCAGTAATAGTGCATTTTATGCATTATTTTGCCTTTTTTAACCTCGGCTTCGATGGTTCAAAATTTTTGCTAAAAGGGAACCGGTCTGGTCCCAAGCTTCCCAGATTAGCAACGTCCAACTTGTACTTATATTAAGACAGATTCTAATTCTCAATGGCTCTCTATCCATAGTTCTATCACCATGCTGTTCTTACTCCATTATCTTATTTTCATTTCTTTACCTATTACAAAGTCATCACTTATTAACAAGCACATAGTTCATTGTACCAAATTAGTAAACTGCAGAGTAATTATAATGCAATTGCATTGGATAACATACCTTAGTCTTCTTAGCTAACAAGAAGAGATATTACCTGCAATAGTGTATTCAATAATAGAATTCTCAATCATATTAAAGACTCACATTCATTGATGCCGACACATATTGCTTAAGATCCCTATCCTCCACAAGATAGTTATTGATCACATGAGCAAGGGTTTTGCCCAGCCACAATGCTGCCAAATCACACAGGAGGCGTGGGATCAATCCGCAGAAGAAGCCCTTTATCCCTTGTTCACGATAGATGATGCCTACAGCAGTAGTCACACCCCTTTAATAGAGAAAAAAAGATCAGTAAAAACTATAAACACCTTAAGTTTCTGAAACTTAATCTACAGGTATTGGCTACACACAAGGGTGTTTGCATGAGAAAAATTCTGTAGCCAATGGAGCAAAAGTCAGTCCATGAACATGAGAAAGGTTAATTCCTTTAACCACAATACTGGAGACAGTTCTAGTGATGTGATGAAATAAGAGCAATTATAAAGAATGAAGAAGGCAGCTATGAATCCTTCTAAGGCAGTGGTTCCCAAACAGGGAGTCGTGAGGTTGGTTTAGGGAAGGAGTGAAGCCATCTGCCAAAATTTGCTATTTTTTGCTCAAAAAGAATATAATGAAGAAACTCTTTCAGGAGTAACTCTCTCTCCGTTTGAATCTTCCACACAACCGTGCAAAACCAAAGTATAGAAGTCACCCTTATCCATTTTCTATCATTTCATCTCTCTTTCCTTACGCATCTTGTACATATCATGGATACCATACTGACTCTCACACTACTCGTATCTTTCACAACACTACCAGCCACCGATCCTCCCTCATCTTCAGTTACGGTATGTTAAGATTTATCTCAAACTCTGTGTTTTAGTCTGGATTTCTTCTCTTTTAATGATTTTTTAATTAATTTTGCTTATAACTATGGTGTGATGTGCAATAACCACTCCACAAAAACGTTTATTATGGTTTCATATTTAATCAGCCCTTTAGTTAAGTGTGTGACTGTGCAGTGTGTTGTATGACTGTATGGTGTGTGGCTGTGGTGTGGTGTGTGACTGCGTGGTATGTGTATGAGGCTGTATGATTGTTGGTGTGTGACTGTGTAGTAACCATAGTGACTGTAGTCACTGTATGGTGCAATATCTGACTGTGTTGTTATTTGCACTTTGCAGAAATGTCTGTAGCGAAGAAAAGGAAGTATACTGAAGAGTATATCAAGTTTGGCTTCACCGTTACTGAGAAACACGGGATTCACCTCCCTCAGCGTGTTGTATGCCATGCAGTCCTCAGCAATGACGCCTTACGACCTGGTCATCTGGAACGTCATTTGAATACAAACCACAATGCACTGAAAGACAAGCCAAAGGAGTGTTTCACAGTCAAACTTCAAGAGTAAAAATGTATGAAGCTGGACACCACAGGAGCTTTTCATCAGGAGACATTCAAAGCGGTGGAAGCATCTTACGAGCTGTCACTACTTATTGCCAGAGCAAAGAAGGCTCACTCTATTGGGGAGACTCTTGTAAAACCATGCTTGTTGAGTGATGCAAATATTGTGGTTGGAGACAAAAGCCAGAAAGTTATCTAAAATTTGCCTGTCTAATAACACAGTGAAGCGTCGCATTGACGAACTTGCAGGTGACATAAGAGAAGAAGTTTTGGACAAAATAAAAGCGTCCCGCTTTTTTGCAATACAGTGCGATGAAACGACCAATGTTGCCCACTGCTGCCAATTGCTTGTTTATAAGGGGGTGGGGGTTGAGGACTTCGCAAAAAACAAAAGAAGGCGTCATGTTAAAAAGTTTGGGAACCACTGTTCTAAGGAGTATTATCTGGGATAACAGCCAGCAGTAAACCCTTTGGGAGTAATAGTCAAGGACAATGGTCCAAGTTAAACACTTACTGTACCTACTAAAAAATCTCTTCAGAAAAAACTCACTTCTTAACACAAGAATAACTAAATCAGATGGATGAATAGGATTTTGTATACTGTATTTTGAAATTTCCCTCCTTTTTTCATGTAAATAAGACACTCCATGCATGATGTCTACTTGATGACGCCATGTTAGAGCTCCAACTTTGCAAAACTTTTCAACAACTGACCGACCCTGAACACTAAGCAATGGAATACTTCCCAGTCAGTGACCATTTCATATAACCCAACCTAACATAACCTCTAACAAACTAATACAGTGATCCCTCGGTTAACGAATTACCTTCCATAAGAATCTTCAATTCGGTTAACGAACAAAAATTTGGTTAACAAAATTTTTACGAAATCATGTCAACACGTTTTCGCTTGCTCACCAGCTGGAATATTAGTCCGCCAATACAGTAATCGGTTCTAGGGCTTAAATTCGTTCCCATTTGAGTAAATATCAAGAAGGTTGTACTATTCAATAATTTTCCAAGTTATATATTAAATTTGTTAGTCATTTTAACACTTATTTAACATAATTGCAGTACAGGAAACTAGTTTTTGGTGAGCCATTCAGCCACTTGACTCACCCAGCAAGGCGTCAGTTTGTATCTCTGGTCAGTGGAGGTAACATCTTGCTTGTGGCTCTCTTGAACATAAACTATTTTTACATTTTTACAGTACAATTATTGGTCATTCTGAAATTTATTTTACATATTGACAATACAGTATATAGTGCAGTGTTGATTTAAAGAAAATAATCTTGAATTACAACTAGTGAACTAAAAATTTTATGGGTTAAATGACGACATGAAGCATGGGGTGACTTCTCTTCCACCCCCACTTCCTTCTCTTCTCCCTTCTCCTCCACCCCCACTTCTAATCCATCATCATCATCATCAACCAGGAGCCTTCTACATACATACCTCAAAGTAAGTGTACAGTCGGCCCTTAACATATGCGGGGGTTACGTAACAGATACCCGTGGATGTTAAAAATCCGCCCAATGTCCTTATTTACCGTATATACCTGTGTGTAGTTCGAGTTCTTAAGACCATATTATTTGGCAAAAAATTGGGGGTCGACCTCTAAACGGGTAATAGTTTCGTGAGGTTGAAAAATATATACCAGTAACTACCAGTAAACAATGGAAACGATGCACCAACGCACCACCAGCTGTGAGTGTCGGTACAGTTGCCAGGGCAGATCTCTTGCGTCATCATAGCAAGCCCAAAGTAGCCAAATGCATGGTATGGTAGCACAGGACGATGTAAAACATAAAGTATTCATTTATTAAAGTGTATTTATAGATACTGTACATAAATTTTTTTTCATTACATTTGAAACATCAATCTTTGTTAATTAAATTTGAAACAAAAGAAAACTACGATACCGTATTTTCATTAAAATATTACATCACAAGTATATTTTACCTTAACTGTGACTGAATGAATATATTCTCGGAAATAAATATGGAAAAGTAATATTTTTGCTAGAATGACGTACATATTACAGTGGAAAGTGGGATAAAATCATGACGAAAACAATGACTTTCGCTTTCTTTCGTTATTCAAAAGATTTTACCGTAATTTTTCGAATGGTTTTCAGTTAAAAAACTGTTGTACTCGTACTGTATTACAATAATATTCTATCCTATCATTAGCCTTATAATCCCACAACTGAAAACCATTCGAAAAGCGATTACGGTAACATCTTTTGAACGAAGGAAAGAGAAAGTCATTGCTTTCGTCACAATTTTATCCCACTTTCAACTGTAATACATCATTTCAGCAAAAAATATTACATTTCCATGTTCTCAGAAATAAATGGTAGTTTTGTTGAAACGTAATGTACAGTATTTAATATTTAAATGCAAAAATAGCTCTAAAAACAATTAATACACCCGTAATGTACTGGCTGGCATCTCCACCCGTCCCTGCTCCCGCCAGTCACCTCCTTCCCGCTCTATCCCTCCGCCTCCTCCACATCGGCACTACTGTTGTATTACAATAATATTCTATCCTAATTCACTTGAATAAATACCGTATATCACGGCCTATAAGGCGGCGGGGTGCATAAGACGCCCCCCCCCAAATTTCCATTTAAAAAGTAGCTTTTGAGCTCTATTTGCTGTATAAGACCAGTACCCCAAATGTGACACTTACCCACTGACTCAGTAGTCCTTTACCAACCATCCTTGATTTTTTAAAATAAGGCCAATTCACTTCAAGTAATGTCATCAAATTATACCCGCTGGTGTAGTGTAAACACTAGTGACGTCACTGAAGCGTGTTGGGAGTGTTCCCTCGTCTCGGTGGTGTGACTATTTATACAACATGTGGTTCAACAGCAACCACCGTATTCTAATTGTGGTGTTTCATTAGGATTTGAGTGAAAAAGGTTACCAGTATGTACTTACTACATACATTTATTACACAAATATATATATATATATATATATATATATATATATATATATATATATATATATATATATATATATATATATATATATATATATATATATATATATATATATATATATATATATATATACTGAATATACATATATATATATATATATATATATACTGAATATACTATGTACAAAAAATGAATGTTCAATGAATTATTTATGGTGCATTAGGGTACTGGTCACTTCTGATGGGCTATAAATAGCCTTCTTTATCTCCCCTCCATCTCACCCTGAGCCAGACTGAAGGGTCTTGGTAAATAACATGTTTGCTTATTTTCCATTTACTTTAAATAGATTTACCGAATTATTTGTTTTATTTATTTATTTATAATATACTGTAATATATTAAACACACTGTAATTATTTTCTTTAATTTATAAACTGTTTTGCGACAAAGGAATGTTCTCCAGTAGTGTTTCATTAGGATTTGAGTGAAAAAATATTACGTACTTACACAATTGTTCCTCTTACTTTGACAACACAACATACATACAGTATATTATTTCTCAGTTTTGATCTTTTTTTTTTAATTTTTGTATTTATTTATAGTTAGTTACTTAAAATAAGGCCAATTCACTTCAAGTAGTGGCATCAAATATTACCAGCTGGTGTAGTGTAAACACTAGTGACGTCACTTGAGCGTCTGTAATTAACCGTCGATAGTTTCAAGAATTAATGCACTCAGAGGGTCATTTACTGAATATTCTTTGTAAAAAAATAAAATTTAAATCAATTATTTATAGGAGATAAATATTATTATGAGTAAATATACCGATACCGGTATGCATTACTGACCACCTCCACGGCTCCTCACTGGCAAATGGGGGGGGGGGCGTGGGGAGGGGTGTGTGATGATAGCTGTGTTTATTATAGGGGTATAAAT